TAAATATATCTGAAATTTTTTCACGAATTCTAGTGCAGAATTGTCTGAGGAAAAATTTGAGTAGTCTGGATTCGATACCGAACCCTCAAAAATGGTTAGCTGACACCTTACTCGCTCGACCATCTGGCAGTCACGAGCGAGGGATAGAATTCGTGAGATCGAAAACCTCCAAGAATTTATCAGGGTTGGTCAGTCCACCGGTGGCCGAGCGATCTTCGTCTCCGCATTTGAGTGGACTAGACCCTGAACACTGGGAGTTCGGTCGTGGGTTCGTCTCTCGCTCGGACGGGCTGGTAGCAGGAGTTTTCCGGGTTTTCTCCATGTCGATAATGCCTGAATAGGGGCCAGTTTTCCATAAATGTCCTCCCGGAAGGCATTCTTTTCCCGCGCACGTTTTGGCCATTCTATAAGGAAGACTTTTCTGTCGCATAGCGTTCACCCAGAAGTCTCTCGGAGTAAAGGCATATAGCCACTGGACTCCATAAGAACCGCCATCTATCGACAAAGACAAAGGGTTGGTCTGTCAGGCTATGTCGGGACCCTCTCTCTTATTACCTGGTCTCCGAGACCGTCGAGAAGGAAAAACTGGAAATTTTTTCTTCCGACTAGGAGAAAACTTGGAGACTAACTCTATAAAAGAAATGTTGGTTTTGCTTTTTACAGAAACAAAATCATGAAAACTGCTTTTTATTAATAAACATTTTAGGTATTTCACTTGTTCAAAAACAAAAAAGTTAAATGGCCCGTTAAGGGGCAAAAGTGGCCCAGTCTATCTCGAATCCCATACAAGCTCTCAATAGTCCCGCCATTCATCCCAGTGGTGATCTGGTCGAACTCACAGTAAGTATGAAAAATACTCTATTGTGCCAATAGGGCAGAAAGAGTTTAAAAGAAAATCTGAGCTATAAATAACAATTTCATGCAATTTTATGAAACTGAAAAGTTCTCTACAGATACATTGTAAATGTGATCAAAATTATAAATAAAATTTCAAATCTCTGGAGTATTTTTTGTATTTAAAAATTTACTTGAGAATTTTTGTCTTTACAAAAGTGATTTAGTTCAGTGGATTTTAAACTCATTCTGTTTACTATAGAATACATAATTATTTTCGGATTGCGTGTCGAGTGTATTCAGTCTTAAACAAATTTAAAATATGTCTCTGCATAATTAAATTTTTGTTTGTGTTACGAATTGTACAAATAAACACATGAATATTTTACGTACACGTAAATTAAAAAAGATAATTTATTATCCTTTAAATGATTAAGAGAGGTTTGCTGTTTACGATTTATCCATTTCTTCGCCTTCTTATATTAGCGAGATTTATGCATGTTACAGAATTCTTATTCTGTAACATGCTGTGTCTTTTTCTATTGCCCTTCGTGCATAAGATATACTCTCTCGATCATATTGAGGTTATGAGACCTTAATTTCTTTTCCATATCAACACTGCTATTTTTTTTCGTTTTCACTCATGTTTATGAATTAATAAGGGCGAATTTTTTCACCGAAACAGAAATATACATAAAGCGATAGCACACGTCCTAACATAAATTGACAAGACACAACTTATCAACACAAGCACTAACTCAAGACGTCTCTGCTCAAGACTGAACCTGTGACGCCGAAAATGGACGTGATTAATGTCGGAGAGTTGGGGAGGGATAGTTCATGAGAAGGGGAGAATCATTACATGAAAGTTCGAGCGTTTTGTCATGTATATCGATAATAATCGAAAGTATGAAATGTGTACGAAATAGTGAATTGTACGAAAATAAAATGTACGAAAGTAGACGACCGCCTGATACTAGTGTTCAGTGGTTTTATCTACAAAACTATTGTTTATATGATCGCAATGCAATTAACTATAAAATTAACTGCAAATATTATATATTTTTTTTACTTTTACTGATCTGCCGAAAACTAAAATAACCTCCCTATGATTAAGATACATTCTCTTTGTACTTTGTAATTCCATTTGACGAAGCAGGATCAATACTTAAGGGTTTTGTATTATGAGGCAGGACCACCCCCGAAAAATTCTTGGGAATTTTTCGACCCGTCCGGATCGATCTCGCTTTCCCCAAAGCGGTAGGCTGCCACCTTAACCGCTCGGCCATCAGGCCTTAATCCATGTATATCGAAAACCTTAGGGATGCATATACTTTTGAAATGAAACTGATCCAAGAATACTCTGATCATTCAAATCACGCATACAAATAAACTATAGCAATCTGATCAATCTCTATCTGCGTATACAAACGTCATCTAGGATCAACTGGATAGCGATCAAAACTAATTTGAACAGAAGGTAGGATCGTTTGAATCGGATAAAAAAGATTAAAGATGGCCACCACCATTGTTAAAGACAAGCTTATAATTGACAGCAAAGAAATATGTTTAACTGTCGACAATGAAAAGTACTTAAAACTTATAAATGGTGAGTAAAAATATCATTATTAAAATAACCGATAAACTGTGATAGAAAATATATATATATTTAGAGACAATTTTATTAAATTGTACGGCAAGAATGCATGGCGTGCATTCTCCCATTTTGCCGTTTTGTAAGCAAATTTATTCACATGACAGACAGATGCGATCTGAATCATGTGACAAAGACTGGTCCAATTTTGCAAATCCATCCGAAACGTAATGTACATGCACCCTATAAATTTTTCGGTGATGATCCATTCCGGATATGTCGACCCCATCCCTCGTTACTCTGGCATCCTTTTGTGAGCTTCATCGAACCCGTGATCAACTTGTAAAACTGCCCTCTTGTTGCCCGTGGGGCGAAAAAAGTTTAGAATAAGTCTCTGTTATTTTCGTAGAGCAGGGTCTCCAAACTTTTTAATTAAAACGACACATTACTAATTTTGACAACAGCAGCGGGCCGAAGCGATTTAATATCACAAGCACATATATATGTATAAATTTAAAAAATAATAATAATAATCGTAGAATTTTATTAAAGATTAATAAAATACATGAACACAAAATACATTACAAATACCGTTTATTTTGAAAAATCAGTTAGGTTTTCATACATGTTTTGGTGTTTCCGAAAAATAGGGACCTCTGTTTCTAAATAAATATGGCCATTGCTTACTCTCTGTGGTTTCTGTTCGACTAATACTAGCAAACTATTGTTTTTAATTATTTTTTTTTAATACTCTTTCCGCCCTGTGGGCACTAGGGGGTCTCTTATAGCAGGCCCATTATGGGTTCGGCCAGGCCCACAATGGAGCGACCGGGTGGTGAGGGACGGGGCCCGACATATCCGAACGGAACACCCCCGAAAAATTCCTGGGGATTCCTTTACCCGTCCGGATTCGATCCCGGATCCCCCAGAGCGGTAGGCTGCCACCTTGACCGCTCGGCCATCCGGCCCTGTTTTTAATTATTTGGATCCAACGCTGGTCATGATTTGGGGACCCCTGCCGTAGAGAATAAAATTTTTAAAAATTATAATTTGCCATAATTATTTAAATAATATCAACAACGTCAAAAATTTATTAAAAGAAAAAAGTTTTAATTACTTTTATGTTTAATTTATTTTAAGGATTTTGGGCTATTTTTCTCTACTTTGTTTTGTTTTTAAAATGTAAATCGACAAATGACAGCGAGACGAAGAAGAAAAGGTGGTATTTTGATTTGTTATGAGTTACGTAGTGACTTTATTCTGTTTAAATTATGTTTTAATAGTAGAAAATAAGACGTATACAAATGTTTTAACGTGTTTATTCATAAATCGTGGTAAGGAAAGTGCCACTATTTAAAATGAGCGCTGAAGAAAATTTACCTATGTTTGGAGATGGAGCATCTTCGTGTAATTTTGCTGGTGACAATTTATCATCCGAATCCGATCCTCCAGTGATGAGGATGAGATTAAGTAATTTAGTGAAGACGTTGCTCTCGGATATCCAGCGATTATCTACTGACATTGACAATAATTCGAAATTACAATTTTCTTTGCTACTTTGCATCAGAAACTGCACAGATTCTATTCCAACGGCATTTATTTCAATAGAAAGACAAAATTTTAATGAAAAAAATACAGAATATTCTGAAGATTATTTATTAAGTATCAGTTTTACGAAATGGATCGTATCGACGCTTCTTAAAATATTGAGTTCTCCGGCCGTTAAAATCCTTCATAATAGTTGTATCGAAACTCTGTTCAGTATTTTTCATTTGGCAAAGAAGAGAGACGTCGTCGTGTTTAAACAGCTAGTCTCGCCACTCGTCAAAATACTACGACGGTTGGTCGTTTTGGATGGCGACTTCGAGAATGGATATTGCATTAACGAATACGCCGTCTTGTCCGATAAGTTGCAAAAATTGCTTGGTTCGAAATGTGGCGGTAATTTGGTCGAACGATCCGTTTGGTGCATTACGAGTACAGAAGCGAGTAATGTCTTTCAAGGGAATATATTGAAGTTATTACTTCAGATATTACTGGATGTAATTCAGTATCTTCCAGACAAAATAAACACACTTTGGAATATTTTATGTCTGCAGTTAGAATTAGGGAATTTTGAAAATAAAAAATATGCATTTGATATTATCAAAGATTTGATTGATTTTTCAGAGTCATCAATTTCAAAAGCTTGCCTTACTAATTTAATTAACTGTGTGCAAGCTATATTTGGTTTATATTGTTCTGGTGAAATGCATAAACATAACTGTAATGGATTTGAGAAAACTGTTGCATCGGCTTCGTTAAAAATTTTCGGATTAATAAAAGACGATAAAAGTTATATTTTAATAGATAAATTTGTACTCTATTATGCTCTTGAAGAATTAATAACTTATCTGATCAAGTATGGATTTTCTCAAATAAAAGAAAAGTGCTTAGCAGATGCAATTATTCAAAATTTAATAGTAATGTTGCAATTAACTGAATATATCAAAAATTCAGTATCAAAACTACTATTAGAAAATCTTATTTTGAAATTATTGGCAAGTTTTGGTGAAACAGAAGATCCTGCAAGTGTTACGTCATTATTTACTTACATAATTATACAGCAAATAAATAATTACAAGTTTGAAAATAATAACAACTTAATGATAGAAAATAAGTGTGTGAACAACAGTCGTAACATGCAAAAAATAAGTGATCCATCAAAACTTTTGACTAACTCTCAGTTATGGCTTTTAATTCAAAATAGAAGCAATCATCTTGTGGATAAAGTTAAATCTGATTCAAAATTTGGCACTTTTAAAGATGTAAAGAAATGCATTTGTGGTATAGCTTCTTGTGTTGACATAATGTTTCAAGTAACCAGTATAATTTCATATTCAATGGATATCAAAAATAATAAACTATATCAGTTATATAATTATTTACAACCAATTTGGGATATGATTTTATTAATAGTTTATTCTCCTACTGAACTATCATCAGATATATTAGAACAATTTATATTTATTTGTGATTGTATACTTAATATTCAAGATATCATTCTGTTAAAAGAGCAAGACTATAATGTCATAAGTATTATTTTATCTATTCCTTGGATTGTTGAATTGAATAGTGAAAATATTTATGATTTAGAGTTTCATCAGTTTTCTCCAGAATTAAAATCGCATTGGATGAAACTAGATATGTCGAATCTTTGTATAAAAACAATTCCTGCATTATCTATACTACCTCAAAAAATTTCTCCTAAATGGAGAATTCATATTATTCAATATTCATTAAACAAAGAAAACTTAAAATCTGCTATCATCAATTCACTAGCAAGTTTTTTGTGTGTGCTTGGAATAGAATATCATGATGTACTTTGCAATTCTATTTCATTAGAAAACTCTTCACTATCTATGATTTCAAAATTGATTGGAAAAATAGCTTGCATTGCTGCTTCTACTTGTTCTTTGAGGAGACTTCAGCAGTCAGAAATGGAGTTTGAGTCTGCAAAGTTACATTGTTTTTGTTTGAAATGTGATGCTAAAGAATTGGCTGCTAATGCTAATTGCAGTGGTTTTTTGAAAACATGGTTACAGAATATTTTTGTTCGTTGTATAGATTCTTCAGATAGCAATATTTGCATTAATACTTTAATAAGCTTTTCATCATTCTTTTTTCATATGGAAGTGGATGAAAAACTATTGGAAGTGATCATGAAACTATTGACGTGTGAAAATATTGATGTGCGAGTTTCTTTTAGTGAAAATATAAAATATTTATTGATGTATCAAAAAAACAGTTTCATTATTAACCCTAATTTAGCAAAAATGTTGGTAACAAATTTAAAGACAGCTTTAATTGCAGCTACTTCAAAGATTAATCCTCAGCTTCAGTTGACTGTGCTAACTACAATTGGATCTATAGGTCAAGTTGTTGATGATGATGAATTGCTATTAGTGTCAATTATAAGCCTAATGCAAGGTATGAGATCAGTAATATCAAATGTATCTTTAGTTGCTAGAACACAGCTACAGAAATTAGCAGAAATAAGAGGAGTAAAAATGATTGATTTGTATAAAAAGTTTAAATGTCAGTTAACATATTCCTTAATGGATATATTACTAGAATACGAAAACAATGATAGTGTATCTATTTTGAATATTCTTGAATTTATGATAAGTCCTTTTAATTTTGTAAATGTTAATTCGTTTTTGCAGAATACAATTCGTCTTAACATTCCTTACTTGGTTAGTAAGGCATCGTCATCGTCGTCAAATTTAATTAAGATATTTGCAAAGCAGTTAAATATTCCAGTGAGACAAATATACGTAAATAATTTCAAATATATATTTTCTTACTTAGTATGTAATTGTTCAAAAACTGAATTAGAAAAAGCATTAATATTTTCTCAAGATGAAACGGATATTGAACTTGGAAGTTTATTGCGTTATGACTATCAGAGAACGCATAATGAACTATTACTATATTTGAGTTCTCATTATGAGCAAGTGTTTAATGGTTTAATAATGTTGGCAACTAAAGATAAAAATTATAACAGTTCAAATCCTATTATTCAAAATGAAGATTTAGCAAAATTCTTACAACCTAGACTTCTAGGTTTTATAGCATATTTTGATTCACAACTGCTAAATTCATATATTTCGTTAAATGAGAAGAGACTAGCTTTAGAAAGTTTTATTTGTGTAATGGAATTAATGGGACCACAGCGTATAACACCTGTTCGCATAAAGGTAATGGCAACGTTACGAATTGCATTACGTTTCACTGAAAATGATTTTCCGAAAACTTGTTGTAAAGGATGGAAAACATTTATCGTAAATGTTGAATTGTCATCATTAGGAACATTATTGAATCAAATTTTAGCAACTTTATTACCATTATTGAAGTTAGATCCTCAGGGTGTATCTGAAATATTTCATTTTTTAATAGTAGAAAATCAAATTCAGTTAAACCAGTATTTCTATGACTTATATTTTATTCCAGATTTACCAGAATTAAATGAAGTAAATACAGTTTTGAAAGAATATACAGAAAAACCTTCGAATCAATCAGATTTTCATTCATTAATGGCTCATTCACTCAAAGGAGTTGAGCATGAAAATATTGAAGTTCGTTTATATGCACTAATTAAAGTTAAACAATTATTGCAAGTAAATCAATGCACTTTACATGAACATCTGATGGGAAGAGAGACTGTAGATCCTCTGGTATCTAGGTTGCTCAGCATGGTAATGATGAGCTGTCAGGAAACTGATACTCGAATTCAATGTCTTCTTGCTGAAGTATTTGGAGAAATTGGCGCCATTGATCCTGGAAGACTTGAAACAGTAAATACCGGAGCTAAAAATAATGTTCATTTTCATAGTAGCATTGAAGAAGAAAATTTTGCTTTTGATTTAATTCAAAAATTAGTTCATTCATTTTTAGCTGCTGAAGAAAGCCGTACCCAAGATTGTTCTTCTTATGCTATTCAAGAATTATTACAAATATATCAATGTAATGATATTAGTAATCCTCCTAGTTCTGGAAATAATTTATGGAAAAGGTTTCCTATAGATGTTCAGGAAATTCTTAGCCCATTATTGCGATCAAAATATATTCCTGGTCAAAGCAAATCAGGTAAAAATATTCAGAAACCAATCTACGGAAGTTCATTTGGAGATACATTTAAGCATTGGGTAACTAACTGGATTGCTGATCTTGTTGTAAAAATTCACACTGAAACAGTTTCAAAAGTTTTCCATTCTTGTTTAATGATTGTTAAATATGATACTAGCTGTGCACTCTATTTGTTACCATATGTTGTAATGTATGTTATTAGAGAAGCTACCGATAATGAAAGAGAAGAATTATATACCGAAGTCATAACTGTTCTTAAACATTGTGAACAATTACATCCTCAGAAATCTATTGAAGTTCAGTGTCATCTCAGTGCTCAAACTGTGTTTTCTGTTTTAGATTATTTAAATAGATGGGTTCATCATCAACAGTCATTATCAGTATTAAACACAAGGAAAAATTGCTCAAATAAAAATTTGTTACCTGGTTTCTCTCAGGTAAAAGAATTTATTAATCGAATTCCACAAGATTTACTTGCTCAAGCATCGTTTAAATGTAATGCATTTGCAAGAGCCTTGATGTATTTAGAACTTCATATTAGATCTAATCCAAAAGAATTACAGAAAATGCTAGGATTTTTACAGAAATTGTACTTTTCATTAGATGAACCAGATGGTGTATCAGGAATTTCAGCAATTAGACAGGATGAACCAACTTTAGAAGAACAAATTTTAGAGTATGAAATTGCGGGGCAAATGCAAGAAGCTTTTGCTTGTTATGAAAGGGCTGTACGGCTTCATCCTGATGATCACTCACATCATTTAGGTTTATTGCATTGTTTAATGAGACTTGATCAGCCAGACACTGCATTAAAATATGCTACAGGTTTATTAGAAAATAAATCAGAATGGAAAAATGATATTGCTTCTTATCAGGTAGAAGCAGCCTGGAAATTAGCAAACTGGGATAATTTAAAATCATTTTTAGATGTTCATAAATCTGTAGATCATTGGAATGTTGGCATTGGCAAAATATTATTAGCTGGAAAAGAAAAAGATAGTGATGCATTTTGGAAAGAATTAAATCAAGTTAGAAGTAAACAGATGGGTCCTCTTTCAGCTGCTGCTATGGAAGATGGAGGATATCAAAGAGGTTATCAATATCTCACAAGATTACATATGCTGACTGATCTTGAAACTGGACTTAAAGCATTTTTAAGCCTACCAGAAAAAGAACAAAGTCTTTCTGGTAAAATATTAGATGTAGAAAAGGTTTTAGAAGAATGGAAAACTCGAAGACAGTTAACTCAAGCGTCACTTCGTTATAAAGAGCCAATTCTAAGTTTACAAAGATCCTTATTGACAATTGCTGAAACAGAGCATAGAGAGCTTAATGAGAAAATTAATCAAGAAAAAGGTCTCTGTTGGCTTGAGAGTGCTAAATTAGCAAGAAAATGTGGGCATTTACAAAGAGCATTCAGTTGTTTATTAGATGCAAGTAGTTATAATTTGCCACAAGTATTTTTAGAAAAAGCAAAATGGCATTGGAATAAAGGAGAGCAAGAGCAGGCTATCAATACTCTACAGAAAGGTATACAAGAATATTTTTCCGATACAATTGCATTAAAATGTGAAGAATCATTGAACTCATTAGAAATGCAGCTTACCTGTGCCAAAGCTAAGCTTATGCTTGCTAGATACAGTGAAGAGTCTGCTTTAGTGGAAAGTAATTCTTTATTACAAATGTATCAGGAAATTGTCAATATAAATCCAAATTGGGAAGATAGTTACTTTTACTTAGCCAAATATTTTGATCGTGTTTTGAATTCTATAGAAAAATTGGACAGGAAAATTGAATTGGCTGGTAAAGTAATCAAAAATTTTGGTTTGTCTCTACAGTTTGGATGTAAACATGTTTATCATTCAATGCCTCGCTTATTGTCATTGTGGTTTGAATTGGGCTCTCAGATTGGTGATAGTAAAAAGAATAGACATTCCAGTTCATTTACACAATCTGAGATTGCATTATCTCACCTTACAAACAAAATTGTTGTTACTCTTGTAGATAAATTACCATTGTTTCTTTTTATGACTGCTTTTCCACAGTTAATCTCTAGAATATGTCATCCACATCAAGGAATTGTTAATCAACTGCAACGAATCATTTCAAAATTACTTGTTGCTTATCCACAACAATCAATGTGGATGATGATTGCCGTTTCAAAATCATCATATCCAATGAGGGTTCAGAGGTGCCGGGAAATATTTAGTCTGGCAAAGAAGATTCAACCAGATTTAACAAAATTTATATCTGATAGTATTTCTCTCACTGAAAAGTTAGTAGAATTATGCAATAAATCAGTTAATGATACTTCGCTTAGTATAAAAAGTAATTTAAGTACATTGCCACGCCTTTTGAGTGATGGATCATTTAGTAAAATTATGTTACCATTACAATCATTGATGACAATAACATTACCAACTACAGATTTCAGTTTGCAGACAGATTATAATCCTTTTCCCAAATCTCCAGTTTACATTGTTGAATTTTTAGATAAAGTTGAAATTTTGACTTCATTGCAAAAACCCAAAAAAGTTACTATTCGTGGAAGTGATGGAAAATTATATGTGATGATGTGTAAACCAAAAGATGATTTAAGGAAAGATTGTAGACTGATGGAATTTAATAATCTAGTCAACAGATTTTTAAAGAAAGATGCTGAATCAAGAAAACGACAGCTATATATTAGAACTTATACTGTTGTTCCTTTAAATGAAGAGTGTGGACTTATCGAATGGATTCCAAATTTATCTGGTCTTAGACGGATTCTTAATAATATTTATAAAGAACATAAGTTATTTACTACCTCAGATGAAATACGTAAATGGATGCCACAACTAAGTATGACATTAGAACAAAAGCTTAGCATTTTCAAGACAAAATTTTTACCACATTACCCTCCAATGTTTGCACATTGGTTTTTGAAAACATTTCCCGATCCCACGGCGTGGTATATGGCTCGTCTTTCGTATGCTCGAACAACAGCCGTCATGAGCACCGTCGGTTATATTCTCGGACTCGGTGATAGACACGGCGAAAATATTTTATTCGACTCTAGTTGTGGTGATACCGTTCATGTAGATTTTAATTGTCTCTTTAATAAAGGAGAGACATTTGATTGGCCCGAGAAAGTTCCATTTCGCCTCACACACAATATGATAGATGCCATGGGACCAACAGGATACGAAGGTATTTATCGTAAAGCATGCGAAGTGACAATGAGACTTATGAGGACACAAACCGATTCTCTCATGAGTGTTTTAAAACCATTTATTCACGATCCACTTGTAGAATGGAGTAAACCAATGGTGGGCTCATCTAAACCCGAAACTGGTGAAATTCATGTACAGAATATTGAACAGAGATTAAAAGGTATTGTAAAAAGTAAAAACAAACCACAATTACTTCCTTTGTCTGTTGAAGGACAGGTCAATTACCTAATTATGGAAGCAACTGATGAAAGAAATTTGTGTCAAATGTATGTAGGATGGGCTGCTTACATGTAAATATCAATAATAGTACAAATTTGATGTGTTATATGTTTATTTTATTACAAATTTATTTTTGAAGTATAATTTTTTGAATGTAAAAGAGTCTTATGCTCTATATTTCAAAGTTCAATTGTAAAAATATGAAGGAAAAGATTATTTTTAAAACCTGCTTAATACAACAAGAGTTCCTTTTTGTACTTTCCAATTACAATTGTAATTAAAGTTCATATTATAATGTAAAGTAGTAGTAAATAATTTAAAATCACTTCATTTTTAAATAAAATTAATTAAACAACAATACAACCTTAAAACATACAATATTGTATGTTTTAAGGTTGCTAGATTAAGATTGGATTAAAAGACATTTAAAAATGATTAATGTTACCACTCCATCTTTCAGTTCACCCCAAAAATTAAAATTGAATGATTTTTTTTAGTGAAAAACATTGTTGAGGAGGGGTTAACCCCCAAACTGTAGACCCCCCTGAACGATAAAAAAATGTCTAATAAACCACACCCCTACAGGCGACCCTTTACGAGATATAGCCCCCTAAAATCGGGCCGCTCCTCGCTCAGCTGAAAACTCGCTTTTAATTATGTAGCACGCGACTATACGTACGTCATTTCCGGTCACATTTCTCACCCTAGGTACTTTTTACATCGTGCGAGACGCACGATGTAAAAAGGAAATAATTTTTATTCATAATTTATATAACTTTTTAAAATATACATATTTACGTAAAATGGAAAATATAAAATTGTTTATATATGGTATACAGTAGCCTCCTCTATAACACTGTAGATAATTCCGTGTTATATGAATTTCATGTTGTACGAGTCACTTAGATTTTACAAATACGTGAGTCGTTTACAGCCCGGCAGACGTATTTGTAAAATCTAAGTGACTCGTACAACATCGAATTTATATAACACGGAATTATCTACAGTGTTATTGGCAGGCGCCAAATCAGACAGGGGGCGTTGTTTTTGAGCCAAGATGGCTGCCGAAACGGGTAAGGAGCCGACCACGTGTTTGTTCAGTGCCTGAGCCGATTCAGTTTCTATCGGTGACGACTACTGCGAGGACCAAATGGAGAACAAATCATTGAATTTGTCAAATTGTAGACTATATCGGCGACAGGAAACGTTGTCTTGTAGAAGGTGAAGCCGTTTTGAATATATGAGACGTACAGTGCGCACACACAAAACATAATGTGTGCTACAAACTTTTGACTGGACTATGTTGTATAAGTGCTGAATGACTCAGCAGAACAGCCTTCAGATTAGCACTAATTTTAACTATTATGATAAATAAAACTTTGTTTTTATATTGGAACATGGTGTATACTGCTTCAAATATTTAAATACTTCTCACCTGTTAACGTGTAATAAACATGCTATCACATGTTTACAAAAACCAGACAGCTCCGCTTTGCACGTGCATTCTCCCTGTAATTGAGATGTATTAAAATGCCAATATCTGAGATTGCAACATTAAAGCAACAACATGAATTTTGGTGTTTTTGTTAGAGTTTAATCCACAAAATACGATGTGTCCAGCATCCAAAACGGCTTCACCTTCTACAAGACAACGTTTCCTGTGGCCGATATAGTCTAGAATTGACATAAATTCAATGATTTGTTCTTCATTTGGTCCTCGCAGTAGTCGTCACCGATAGAAACTGAATCGGCTCATGCACTGAACAAACACGTGGTCGGTTCCTTACCTGTTCCGGCAGCCATCTTGGCTCAAAAACAGAGCCCTCTGTCGGATTTGGCGCTTGCTAATAACACTGTAGATAATTCCGTGTTATATTATTCCGTGAATATTATTTTCCGTGTAGAATTTGCATTAAATTTTATTCTTACCCTACCTAACGTGTCCTATTGGACGGTCGGATGGCCGAGCGGTCAAGGAGTGTATTTTTTTATTCCTCCGCGCGAGCGGCACCAGTTTAAAATTTCCTGCCAAACGCGTTCCTAAATTCCTGTAGGAGTGCACGCTGTCAGACGGCAAAAACGGCTGCTTGTAGCGGTAGTTTACGGTGGGAAACAACATGGCGTCCTCCATGGCTCATACAGTTTTGTTTCGGGATCCATTATGTGGTTTTATGAATGAAAATTTAGAAGTTATGAAAGCGCAAGTTAGTACACGCGGTGATGTATCTTCTCGAATTTTTTCGAATGGTACCCGGCATTCTAAATTTTTTTCGTGGTTACTTTGAATGCTCTGTCGGCAAGATAATTCATTTCATGGTTAAATTTTACAATCGAGACTCTTTGGTCTTTAAACCCAAGGTGGCAGCCTACCGCTCTGGGGGACCGGGGATCGAGTCGATAAATCTCCGTGAATTTTTCGGGAGGTGGTCCGTCTGGATATGTCAGGACCCATCCTCACCAACCCGGTCGTCCCATTGTGGGCCTGGCTAAACCCATAATGGGCTTAAGTCATAATGGGCCCACAAATGAATTGATACAGATACACGGAATGTTCGTATGTATAAGAAACACTAAAACGAAAAATATATCAATATAAAGAGCTTGGTTATTTTAGCCTACCATTATCAGTTAATCGCGATACTCGGAAAGTACGAAATTGCACAATCTGATTGCTCAAGTAGACACCAATTGGAGATACAGTAGAACCTCGATTATCCGCCCTAATTGGGGACTGGGGTTGGTCGGATAATTGAAAAGTCGGATAACCGAAAAGTATGAAAAAATCCATTATTAGTGTAGTATATTATTATATCCCATGTAATTAGTATATTAGTTTATCGCTATTAACCTATTTTGCGTTGAATTTTCATCGATGTTAAACCTAACAAAAACTTTTTAAAAATAATAATCGTCGCTATTGTAGCGCCACATCACTAGCGGACATTTGAAATTTGCCGACTAGGACGGTCGGTTAACCGAGGGGTCGGTTGATCGGGGGCGGATAATCGAGGTTCTACTGTATCTCTTAAAAAAATTAAGATATATTTTTTCCTTCATTGCTTAAATCGGCTACTTTTAGAGCACAACTTTGGTACTTTTTGACTTTCAAATCTGGCAACATGTTCGTGCTGTTCGTTACTTTATTTGAAAATGCCGTTTTGTATGGAACCCGTTTCTGAGAGTTCCGATGTTAATCCATCGGAAATTTTCGAAAACTTGACGTGTTTCTCATTTTATCGCTATTTTCCCATCGAAGATGCAGCCCAGAAATTTTGTCATCTGGTGGGAATGGTTCCACATCCGGACTTAACCGGTTTCATTCCGCCTTGTCCTCGTTGCGGAGGTAAGTTTTCCTTGATTTCTGCCTGTGCCATGAGTGCTTTACGCGGATATCCGTTAGCTAATTCAATTTGTCGTATTTTTCAGGCGCGATGGAGAAGAAACCGGATCCGTCGCAGTTCGGATATATCTACTGCTGTATGAAATTAAAAGAAAAAGAAAAAAAGAGGAGACGAACTGGCGGCTTTGTCTGGCGTGCCAAGTGCATCGGCGGGATCTCTTGTACCAAGAATACGTTTTTTGAAGGTACTCGGCTCTCGGCTCAAAAGGTATGATATCGTGGCATTGGCATTATATTTTCGGTAACCATATTTTTCTTTCCTTTCTTATTTGTCTCGTCTTTCTGGAATGTTCCTGTTCCTGTTTATCCTATCCGTTAGGGTGTGCCTGGTGACTCATATGTAAGACAAAAGAAAATCAGTAGCCCGAGGGGTGAACAAAGTGAATAGATTGGACAACTCACAAGGAAACTGCCGGGAGTGTCTTTCAATAAATTTGAATAAAATTTAGTTAATAATTACGTTAAAAGTATAAAAACTCTAGATTAAACTTGTAATATTTACTCAAAGTGTTAATTAGGATTAATAGCAATCAAATGCCGTACTGTTTTATAGTAATTTAACACAAATGTGCAAATTTTTAGTAGTAGTTGTATGTAGTAAATGAGATAATATTTTTTATTTAACAGGTCCTAATGCTGATATATGCATGGATCTTGAAGCAACCGGTTACCCTCGCCGCGAGAGAATGCGACGTGGCCATACAAACAGCGGTAAATTGGTTTAAAATCTGCCATGAAGTTGCGAAGGTTTCCGTTTCTCAGCAACAAAACATCAAGCTTCTGTCCCAGTTGACAACACCAGCGGCAAAATTCCGGCAGTTCGTCGAGCATATTGTGGCCGTCTACCCCGGGCCCCGAGGGTCTCCAACTGAAGACGATCGGTGTGCCCGTGGACCAATATCAGCCGCCAGACGAGCACAATGTTTCTGACGAAGAGGAACCGCAGGGAGATGACGGCCCCCCAGTGAGTAGTGCAGCTTGTGTATAGTGCGCGCGACCAAAGGATAGTTCTTTGCAAATGTGAAACCTGCATTATGTAATTTTTCAGACATCGGACACAACGAACACCTTAGTCGTCGACCCGAAGGACCTAGCGGAAGCGGGAACCAGCGGCCTCACCCCGTCCTCCCCATAACATCATGAAGAGGCTAGGCGTCTCAAGTAGGGAAAGGCGTCGCGGGATACGCAAGAGGAGTCGCTTTTGAAGGTTAGTGTAAAATGTTTTCTTCGCTTTTTACATCGGCAGTTAGAATGTGTGGTTAGCAGCGCGCGCAGTCAATTCACGTGATCTAACTCACGTGTATTGGGTTGATAATCGGATTACCCAAATGGGTAAGCCGGAAATGTCGCCCCCGATACTCTTAGCAGAGCGACGCGCGCCGCGACTTCGCGCGGCCCGTTTTTGGGCTATACCTCGTGAAGGATTGCTCGTAGGGGTGTGGTTCATTAGACATTTTGTGATTACAAAGGGGGTGGGGGTTTCACCCCTCTCCCGAACATAGAATATTACCAATATTGTAAGATTATGAGATGGAATTATATGAATAAATTAAAACAGTGCGACGTAAAATATGATATTCTCCCATTGGGAGAAGTGCTATTATTAGTAGTAATAGCACTTCTCCATACATGTTCTGTAATATGCATAAGTATATAGCCTAAAAACATTATTGTTTGCATTAATTATAAATTCATTACTCACATGACATAGGCAACCATAATATTGTCTGGATAACATTACCTTGTATTTTGCAAGGGTTACTTACGATAGAGAAGACAGGGTTCAAGATTAAAACCACCTTTCACTCAGCCAATTATAGGTGGAGGGGACTACTCGGAAATTTTTTTCTTAATTAGTGCAACTTTAAAATTCAATACAAATTTGAAAATCAGAACACAGTCTCTAAAAGTTAGAACAGAATGAAATGCATTAAAACCCAAAGTGATTCCTACTTCTATAATATTAATATTTTTACAACAAAAAATTCTTTAAGACTTCTCTTTATTAATTAATAACGACATTCTAAGTATTTAATTTGCTCCAAAAAATATGATTAAAAAAGCGGCGCACAGTAGCAAAAGGGACCCATTCCATACAAACCCTCGAAGACATTTTCCAGCAATTCCAGTTGCTAGCTTGCCCGAACCATGATGGGTAAGGTTAAAGGTTCCTGTTAATCAAAAATACAATCGAAAAACCATTAATTCCTTTATAATTACTATGAGCAGTCAAGTGAATTCCAACAGTGATCGAATGGATAAAACCACTAAACACGTCTAGTTGCGCTTTACCCCGTGGAATTTTCCACTTCAAACCGTGTCCTTGATCTTCCTAGGAATTATAAATATTCAAATAATTTTTACGCCCTACATACACGAAAAATCAGTTCAAAAATTAATAGGTACAATTTTCAACTACATTGTTTTTTTTTAAATAAATGTGTAGATAAGGACTTGATGAAGTTTCTATTCTAGACTCAGACTTTCAGAAGTCTGTTTACTAAGAATACCTCCATTTTTTTTCTTACATTGTTTTCAACATCTGTTAAATCTTCCCAGTGATCAAGCCATTTAATTGCAATCTTCCATTACATGAAAAGTTTGTGACACAATACGATTAATTTGTTTTAAATATGTACTGTACATAAAAACAAATCTAAGAACAAAAATCTTTCTTTACTAGCAATTCCCCTGAATCTTGTCTTAATGTATTGATTGGAATAATGGCTGTTTAAAACATCAAACAGCTGATTAATTCTTTACACAATTACTTTGCATTTGTTTTCTAGAAAGTCTTTGGTTACCGAAGAGCAGCAATAAATTTAACACAGTACCTGTATTTTAATCTTAAGCAATTATGTTAACTGATATTAAAATTAAGAATTTTTTATTAATTAATTTTGTTTACCTGAGCTAAAATTATTAAAATGACATTTTAATTACTCGATAATACTGTTGCTACTTTTGAATTATTATTTATGTTGGCAGTAGTTTTCTTTTGCGTGGAGACTGCTGTAATTTAGGAACTTTAACTGACAAATATAAAGGGCAATTAGGAAAATTCGAAGGATAAGCACTCCGTTTGCCATTTTCCACGTGGAATCTTATTCGGCATGCTTTTTGTTTCTTTTTCTCGTAGAAAAAAATTACGAAATGCACGAAAACGACAAAACTACCTAGTAACCAAATGGGTAAATTAACTTCTCGCCATAATGCGACTCTAACGCCAACTATCGGCAATCTGACACATTAACTGTACTTGAGATCATAGCTCAAGGACTAATATTTAATTTATTTGTTTAAAAATTAAACAATCCGGAAGCAAGATAATTACACATAAAAAATACTTTTAGCATTTAATTCGTTTCAATTTTTGGTAGTTAATTTAATTTAATTTTTTTTTAGATTTTATAAATTTAAATTTATTATATATATACGTAGTTTAATTAATAATAATTAAATTAATCGACAGATGGCGGTATATTAAAAAATTCTTATATGAAAAATATAAACAAAAAAGTATATATATTTTATATAATAAAATTCCAATTTAATATTTCTAACTTTATATCTTTCATAAAACTTAATTATTTACTTTAAATAGTTAAAATTAACTAAAAATATTGTCGAGATTATAATTTGTAGTACGTGTTTTTAGCATCGGATGCAACGGCGCACTCGTCGCTACAGACGATGTTCGTAGTGTAATTTTTATTTTGTTTTCTATTAAACACATAAGAGTGCTTTAAAATAAACGAAAAAAAATAATTTATACGAAAACAATAATAAAATTTTAGGTTATATACTCGTTTACAGTAAGATATAATATATTGAATATTAACTTTGTTGCTATTTATTTAGAACCTAAGAAACGATAATTTTATAAAAGTCGATATTTTTCTGAATAACTAAGAATATTAATTATTAATAAATGACGAAATAAAAAAAAATAACAAATTAAGAATTGATAAGGGAAAAATGGAACGTGTACTTTCAATTACCGACACCAGATGGAAGAAGAGTGTTTTTGATGGATAGATGCTGCAGCGCATGCGCATAACAATCAGTGTGTATTTACGACGGAAGTTGCAGCAATTGTATAGGAGTGACTATCTGGGTTGTTTAAGTGAGCGTGCATGGGTCTGATCGACCAAGCACCGAACTTACCCTAGAACCAACATCATGACGGGGGTCGACACTCCCGTCGACGATCAACCGATGTGTTTTTATGTCCACAAGATGGACTAACGAATCGTCGATAGGCGATGAGCACACCGCAGTACCAACCCAAGACGACCAGCGGAGGAAGGTTTGATTTCGACGACGGTGGTACTTACTGTGGAGGTTGGGAAGATGGTAAAGCACACGGCCACGGAGTCTGTACGGGTCCCAAAGGTCAGGGGGAGTACTGCGGGTCGTGGCATTACGGCTTCGAAGTATCGGGTGTGTACACGTGGCCGACTAACAGCACTTACGAGGGTCAATGGCAAAATGGCAAGCGGCATGGTTTGGGAGTCGAGACACGTGGACGATGGATATATCGAGGAGAATGGACTCAAGGATTAAAAGGAAGATACGGAGGCAGGCAAAGTGTAACTTCCGGGGCCAAATACGAAGGAACGTGGGCCAATGGCTTACAAGACGGCTACGGATCCGAAACGTACGCAGACGGTGGTAAGTGCATTTATTTATATTAATAAGTGGGTAGGAAGATCCTTTCAATTATACGATGATTATCTCCTTCCCGCCGCTAGAGCAGCGTTAAACAGGAAGTGTAGAATACGTCACGCTTACGAAACGGATATATTTAGACTAATGTTGGCATACAGCCTGTAAGGACTCAAAAGTGGCAAGTTAAACTGGCTCGTTCTTACCCACCGTGCCATTTCTATGCTCGATTGTATTCCTATACAATTGTGCAAGGCCGAAAAAATTATCATTTTCGTAAAGGTATTTTCATCTCCGCGCTCCCGTGCTATGCCGCGATGTTAGCATACGGGAGGAGGAGGAAAAAATACAATAGCAAATTTCTTTTTAATTATTTTAATCGAGGAAATAAATATTTGTTACGGCAGATACGAACATTTTATAGATTTTATTCGGTGCTTCCATCTGGCGAATGCTAGAATAATACACGTAAAATAAGCCGGAGAAGAGGTAAAAAAAAAAAGCTGCGAAGTGGTTATAATGCCAATCAACTCTTACGTATTATTTTATATTTCATATTTTTGTTTTCTTTTCTGACCATCGACGTTGTTAGTTGACGATTTCCTTTTGTGATTTGACGACTGCCGAGTCCAAAGCTTGTAGTCATGGCAACCTCTGACACCTTTACAATCCATTTTCAGCTTATTTGGCACATAAACTGACTCGCGTAGCTGCAATAAATATATATATTTATTTACAACTTGGCATTTTATAAATAAAAATTTCAAATCAAACTGTATCTTAAATAATAATCGCCGGTTTAAAAATGAAAGATTTCCTCGTAGTTAAAATAAGAAATATATATATATATATATATATATATTAAGTGTTGGAGAAGCCAATACATCATTATTAGTAATAAAAAGTATTCACGCGATAATTAGTAAGAAAAGAATAATATAAAAAGTGGGTTATCGTGATCCTTGTGATGTACGAAGAGTTGCCAATGTCTGAATCAGGAAGGCTTCTTGCCAAGAAATTCGAGCTTAGTTGTTAGAAGTAATGATGAGATCTAAATTCAAACAATCCCATTGATTAGAATTTTGGTACATCTTGGAATTGAGAGGAGGAGGAAGAGGAAAAAAGTATAAACTGTGTAGCATCACTTGTTGAAAGCTTCCTCGCTTAATTTCTAAGATGATATATCAGATTCGAGAACAATAAAATATTAAATTTATTTAAAATTCCTTTATAAATCAGCATGTAAATCTCTTATTGTTGACTTGAAAGAACTCAACGATGGGTTTGATTTAAAAGGTCTTACAGTAGGGGGAAAAATCCCTTTAACTATTTAATGATGGAAGATGCTTACTGAAAACCTTTTCGTGTTTTTCTATAGGATAGAGCCTATAAAGTCCTGTAGTATAAGCGAGATTTAGTTATATATTTATCTAAAATTCCTTTCTGATTTACGATTTATATACAGTAAAACCTGCGTAAACGGGACTCGAACGGTTTTATTGTCAGTTATATTTATTATTAATATTTTTAGCCTGGTAAATATTGCAGTAATTTATGCAATACTTAAATGTTTTTATCTTATGTAGAATGATATATATATATTTTAAATGAAAGATCGACCGAGAAACAATTGCAAGGAAATGTTTGTAAACAGAATGTTACAAAGTAAGCGAAAAAAAAAGTAAAATAAACAAAAATGTTATTATACAGTAAAACCCAACGAATCGTTAAAATAAATCTTGATTATCCTCGAATTATTGACTTTCAAGGACAAATTCAGAATCTATTCCAGTGATTAAACATTCCGGTAGAATTAACTCAGCTGATAAAGAGAAGAATAAAAAGAATAAATGTTTTAACACTACAGGAAACTTCTTTGTTGATCAAAAGCCAACAAATTCTTGTTCCAAGTCGGTTGGTCTTCGGTAGGACATCGATTGTCGATAATCTTTACATAAGAGGGCGCTACTGAAGAAATTTCGGTGTTCCCGTCCCTTGGCAACCTCCAACAGACAAGGTGCCATTGTAGGAGAATGCTGTTTCCTTTCTTATCTTTGCTTTCTTTAACTTTTGTTTGGCTCGAAAAATGTAGGTCAATGGCAACAGTTTAAATGAAATGTTTGTGAATAAATTTCACTTTTCTTACGATTTTTAATTCATTCCCTCCCTCGTTTAAAATTACAATCAAAATACTTCGAGACTGTTTTATTAACGAGGTTGAACGTCGAACGTGAACGTCGAACGTTAAACGTGAACGTCGAACGGCGCTCGACGTTCGACGTTCGCGTTTTACAGATGAAAACTTCGGCCGCAATCTCTCTATTAACGGGAAGACAAAAGGAGCAAATTGCCGAAAGAAGGGGTGTTCCTATGCAATGTTTACTTCCTTTAATATAATAATCCTTTAATATCCGAGCGGCCCTGATTATTAAACTAGTATAACAGCTATTGTTTTTATACTTAAAATAATAGACACGACTACGGATTTATGTTAGGAATTTAATGGAAATTCTTTAAAACAAACTCTACACGACCTACATAAGTGAAGACACCGAGAAGTTTTGCTGTTTTAGCAGAATTGTTGTGAAGTGTTGACAGACTAGACAGTCTTCTTACATTAAGCTTTTCTGATACCGAAAAGTTATGTTCATTCCTACGACATTAAATATAATAATATCATCGTGAATGGTGTCTATCATCTTTCCTACTCGAAACCAGACAAGCGCCACATAAAAAACAAGAAAGAGTAATTGTTTATTGTGTTATATTCCGTGTTTAATTTCTACACAATAATTTAAATTCGTAGCATTTTCTTTTTTTAATATTATTACATTCAGGGAGGATCTTTAAACAATTTAGTCTGTAGGAATCAGAATAATTTTTAATAAAATTTCTGCATTACTTTCCCACAAATGTGCTTCTCTAGTGATTTATAATTTAACTTATGCCAGTAGTCATCGATCAGTTGTCAAGAGCTGTAAGCTAAAATAAAAGAAAAAAACAATCGCTTCGCATTATTGTAAACAAGAAAATAATTCAATTGTGAAGAGCCAAAACTGAACCGAATTCAATTGTCCGAAAATTAAAGGAAGAATTGGCAGTGCTTCGACGTGGCGAAGGAAATTAAGACAAGTACTACATTGGAAAAGGCAATTTTACCTTATTTTTTTCCTTCCTTCTTCTTCTTCTTCTTTATTTTTTAATTCCTTTCTCTCTAGATTATTCGGGTCATATCTATAAAATGACCTACATTTTATAATCTAATGAGTTGGATAATTTCACTTTGATGCAAATTTTTATTGAGTCTGCAATTGGCAGAATAATTATGATAAGGTTTATATATCAAAAATAAATTTGAAAATTATCTTTATATCGAACTTGATTAATTACTAATGATATTTGGTTATCTTCTCGGTATTTAAATGTTGTTTTTTTTCTTTTCCGGTTTTAGAATGTTTATCACAATTAATTAGCTCCATCTTTTTTTTGCTATAAAATATGGAATTAAGTAACGATAAGATATACCCCAAATGCTAATTATTTATTTTTTTTTTTGCTCGACACCTCTAGCAATTATTTATAAAGAATCTATGTGTTTTTTTAAATTATACAAACTAACTTCAGTCGAGTATTTGAGGCTGTTTTATTATGCATTTTATGTATTATTTGGATGTATATTAAGTTTTTTTTTCTCCTTCCTTCTAAGGACAGGAATGAATCCTTAAGCGTGTTTATTTCATCAGCCATTGAGTCCACCAGATAAAACTACTGAATATTGGTAGTCGGCCTGACAAACGGGCTTGCCGCGTGGAATTTTTCGGGTTTTCTTCGCGTGTTTAACACCCAAACAGGGGCCAGTTTCCCATAGAAAGTTCTCCTGAGAGGCACCCCCTTGGCATAACACTCAAGTGTTGCGTTGCCTCCTTCCATCAGTTCAATTAATTCAATCATCCATTGAATGTATTACAATGTATAAACAAAGAGAATTTTAAGAAATTTATGTTGTTGTACGTTATCTTGGATTTCGAGTTAATATAAAAGAGTAATTTTCTGTTAAAAAAAACCTCATAAGTGATCAAAATTTCGCAATTAATTTTTGTTTTTCGTACTGTAAGAAAGGCACCCAAAAAAAATTTATACCAAAGTTTACCACTATGGCTCTTCAAGCAAACATTTCGTGTGTACAAGACACTCAAACTGTATAGGCCTACAGACTTTGTGATGCAGTAGATACTGATTAGTGTGGTCCCCATTCTGAACGTATGAAACCTGAAGTGGATGAAGTGTGTTCGATTGCCGACCGTAATTGATTCTCTGTGGTGTTTCTCACACGCAGTATGATACTGTCTTTTAAGTTACGAGGCTGTCTAATTTGCAACGTGCCCTTGATAAACCATACATTTTAAGTATACCCACAACCAAAAATCACACGGATTGACATCCGGAGTTTTTTGCCAAACAGTAAGAGGCTGCCGTACGCAATGTTCGATATGCGGAGGCGATCCATCTTGGTTGACTCAAGGCATATTCATTGTCGCAACTGAGGTACAAGTATTAAGCATCTCTCTATATCTGGGTGGTCACAGGCCAATTAGGTTATTCGAAAAAGAACGGTCCAAGGATAAATGTGACATTGAATCCATACCAGACTAATTTTATGCGAGTGCAGAGGATTCTACTGAAAAACATGAGTTTTTCAGTAGAATCCTCTGCAAACGTGTTAGCTATGGGTGTTCACTGTTATACTGAGGTGAAAATGTGTGCATCGTTGCTCACAATATCTTCCATGGCCACATCGATTTTCTGGCAAGGAAGGTCAATACAAAAATCCGTCGGGTTTCCTTGTGGGCGACAAGCAACTGCTCGTTGTGGATGATCTTATAGAACAACAAAAGACAATGCATCAATTTTCTCAGTATCTTCACTCTGTATTTTAGGCTACAACTAACTGTATCTGCCTTCAACAGCAACTGTGGTAACGTCTTCAACGACTCGTGAAGTGATAG